CCCCCCGGTATTATAGAGGTTTCACTGTATATATAATTATATATATATAGTGATATGCAGTAAGATTTTGTGATATATTTTTGCGACCCAAGATATTTATCGCCAATAATAAAAATGCACCATATTATTAAGGTATTATTAATTAATTACATACTCAATATGACATTATTATATTATTTGATAAAGATAAAAAGATATTATATTATATTTTTTTTAAGACAATCTGGTTTTATACGTTCTCTTGTAAAGATAAACAAATTATCTAACATAAATAAAATACAATGAGCACATCATTAAATGAAATGTCTAGTGTAAACTTTTGTATTTTTTGAGCTGTGTAATTTAGTCAGAATGTTTTTTTATGATAAATAGTTGATGGGATATGCATTTTTTTAAATAAATCTTTATAATTGTTTAATATATTATTAACTTTAAAACTTGTGTTTGAAATGAATCTATAGTTTCCTATTAAATGTATATTATGCTTAAAAGTAATTGCAACATTAAGTTTCATGAGTTTTATACTTCAGATTAAGAATGAAGAAATTTTTAAAATAAAACTACTACCCAAGTTTCATCAATAAAAAGCTTATTACGATTTATATTTTTATATTATATTTGTTTTACAATGATTTGTTCTGTATTTATTATGTAAATGAAAGGTGTTTCAAATATAATATAATATAAGATAATCAAACTTTTAACATTTGGAAATCTGACACAAATGGTACTTTTTGTATTTAATAATACGATTCGTTGAAACTTTATAAAATAACTGTATAAATTTCAACAACACTTTTTTTTGACAAAAAATATTTCAATATTAAATTTAAGTAAATATAGTAAGTTATTGAACTATTATGAATATTAAGACCAATAAATGTATAATGTAGTACCATATTTATGAGATGGTGTAGGGAAAATGGGGATTGATCCCCAATGACATCTCAAAGAAATGTAAATCAGATGAGTATTTTTATAATATGCCTATAGTAGTTAGCGTACAACTTTATACGATAATTAACGTCAATAACTTCAATAACAGTAAGTTCTGATTTTTAGAAATTTAACAAAAAACAAGGGAACCTATTCTATTTAGTATGTATGAATAAACGTACAGAAATACAATAGAGCACATTAATTTATGTTCAGAACTTAAATGATTTTTAAATATTCGGTTATTTAATAATATTACTATTTTAATATTTTTATATGTACGGATTTAATATTATTATTTAAAAAATATCGTAATACTGTTATTATAGGTAATATAATTTTCATAATATTTAATAATAATAATATGGACTAAAATTTAAGTCCCAKAATATAGGGATCGTATTTTAAATGACCAGAATATTAAAATAATTTTTTCTAAAATATGTGGCAAAAGATAAATCATGTTTCGTGAAATAAAAATAATAAAACTTAAATTTGAGTGGTGGCATAACGTCTTATTTTTATTACATAAAAATGTATTTATGTTATTAACTACAATAAAGAATAAATAATAATTAAACATTGCAATTATCTTAGAAATATATATATATATTAGATCCACTATGTAGAGAAGATACATAATGGGTATCTTTATGTAATTTTTTTATAGCTTCTCTACATCGTGATTAGATCAAAGAAAATTTTTAATTAATTGGTAGTTATGGCGTACTGTAATAGGCCAATCTAGCTGTGGGTGACTTGAAACAATTTTTAAATTCTTTATCTTATTCTGAACTGAGAAAAATCACAAAGGGTCTACTCCAGTACTACCTGACGGAAACGTGTAAACTCTCCCGGGTTTATTCCTGTACTACCTAACGAAAATATGTAAACTCTCCCGGGTCTATTCCTGTACTACCTGATGGAAATATGTCAACTCTCCCGGGTCTAGTAAAAATCATAAAATAAATTTAATTTACATTTAAGTTGCGTTTAAAAATAGTCAATGGCAGTCAATCATATATAATAACAATTTAATGCCTTTAGCTGCTATGAGCTATAATATTATAGTCAAAATACAATAAAAAATAAAATTTCAAAAAATCTTATATACATATAAGTTTCTTTAAAAAATAGTCAATAATAATAATAATAATCATGACATAAGTTACAAATACAAAATATACGTAAAAATGTTAAAATTATTGTATTTGATAATGAGAACAACCAGATTTTAAAAAAGTTAGGGAATCTATTTTTTTCTAACATTTAAAACAACTCGGAAGAGTTTACATACTTCTTACAGGTAACTATAAAGTTAACCCGGGAGAGCTTACACACTTACTTTAGGTAAACATAATTTTGACCCGAGAGAGTTTACACATTTACTTCAGGTAAATATAATATTAACCCTGGATAGTTTACCATCGGGAAAGTTAACTATTTTTAAAAATCGGGAGAGTTTACCACCGCCCAAATTTGAATCCAATGATATCATATCATTTTATACAAAAAACGATTCTGAGCGGAGATGGTTTATCTGTCTAGGATATATACATATAATAGATTATTAAAAAATTTCAAATCTTAGATTTAAAAAGAAGAATTTTTTATGAATTTCTAGTTTAAAATAATTTGTAAATTTTTGTGATTTTGACGTATGTTGTCAAAATCAAAATTTTAATGCTTGTAAAAAATTGTATTTATGCATTTCTTTTATTTTTCAACTGCTATTGTAAAAATATGTTAGGAGCCTTGTATTAAATTTTCAAGCTTTTCTACTAAACAAATAAATTTTTATCGATATTTATAGAAAAAAAAAACTTAAAAAGTTTAAAAATTAAAATGTCAGTAAATAGTTCAAAAGAAATCTAAATATTTTGAAAATTGTATCAAATATAGAAAATGCCTATATAAAAATTAAGTGAAAACTTCAAGTATCTGCGGTTATTTGTTTTAGAGTTACACCAAAATAAGATAATCGCTAAATGTGAAATCCAGTGAAAATTCAATGTTGTAAAAATTTAAATTTCGAATGCTCATAAAAAATTAATTTGAATTTCCAGTAGACGTTTTTTTTTATGATAAAGATTGATAAACTTGTATGGAATCTTGTATTAAATTTTCAAATCTTAGATTTAAAAATAATTTTTTTATGAATTTCTAGCTTAAAATGATTTTCGAATTTTTGTAATTCTACTGAAAATTTTACATTTAAATTGAGTTAAGACCAGATTTATGTCCAGCTGTAACCTGAAAACTTGCTTCTAAAGTGTTGAAATTTGCGAAATCGTGCAAAAAACCAATCATAATTAGGAATTAGGTAACAAATCTTTAAGTATAGGTATTTCAAATTTAATTTTTACTGTTATTTATTTTTATAATATTACTGTTTTATTAGTATTTGGCATTATATAAAAAAAAAATTAATTTAATTAATATAAACAAATTTAAAATTTATAATTATAAAATTTAAACTGATTTACAATATCGAAAATTTGACTTTCCGGGAAAACCGTTAGAGCAGGAATTATAAAAACCGGGTCAGGAATTCACAGGACTTGAGTACTAATTACTGGCGCAAAGAAAATTGCAAAAAGTTAAGTTTAGAAGGTGGGTGGGGCTGGAGTAACATTACCCCAGTTCAACCCGGAGAAAATTCTACTTTCCGGAAAACCGTTAGAGCAGGAATTCCGGGGTTTGTGGCAGGAATTGTGAGGAATTGAGCACTAATTACTCTGGCGCAA